GTGTGACCTGGGTCTGTCGGCTCCATTGCTGCCACTCTGCCATGTGCCACTTTGAAATTCTACATCTGCGGTTGTCCATTTTCGGTCATAGGTGGTTGGCCGAATTAAGGCCTTCATATGAGTGCAGGCCCCAAATCGGCCATGTGCGAGTCCCGCTGGTACACGTTTGCTGGGGCCACAGAGTTGACTGGGTCTGTAACGGCCCTCCATTGCTTCCATCTATGCCATTGTGCCATTTGAGGTCTCCTCAAACCACTCCCTGTGCTATTTTCCATTTTTGACATTAGGTTGCTGGACTGATTAACAGGCCTTCCATAGGTTCAGCCTGGCCCCAAATAATTCGGCTTGGGCCCCCGTACCTCCTGGGTCACGATGCTGCATGGAGCAGCACACAGTGACGACCTGGGGGTCCCTGGATTCTGGCCGTCCTCCCATTGATTCCACTCTGCCATGGTTGCCAACTTTGAGAGTCCCTGCACCAGACTCCTTTGCTTTTCCTTTTTGATCAGGGAGCTGGCAGATTACAGGCCTTCCATAGGCTCTCGCCAGGCCCCCATATCGTGCCATGGGCCCCCGTACAAAAAACGACCGCCTCGTCATGCTGCTGCTGGGTCCCCACAGTGCTGTGACCGTGGGTCACCTGTACGACTCCCATTGCTTCCACTACTGCCATGTGCCACTGTTTGAAATGTCCTCACACTCCTGTGGTTGTCCATTTTGTCATAGGTGCTGTATGGCCTCCCTGTTGCTGCTGCTCCACCGTCCACACTGTGGCTCCATAAACACTGGTTTTGGCCCCGTGACTGGACTCCAAATGAGTGAAGTGTGCGCGGTTTGATATCTAAGATCGACGGCACTCATCTGCATGTCATACTGACTGACTGTAATTATTTCTCTTCCCCAGCAGACATCCAAGGGCACTTTAAATTAAAGGTACAGTGTTCTGCACTAATATTAAGTCTCTCTTGAAGCCTAGATAACACCACAGTTTTTTAAGTTATGTAAATTCAAAGCGAATTTATTCGACTCGAATCGAATATTGTCCCACGAATTCGCCGAATCAGTCGAATCGAATTTTTCTCATTCTCTATCGCTCATCCTCTAAGTCCCTACCTTATCCCTATTTGTGACACAAAATAAATTGGACATGATCACTGCCATATACTGGGCTTCGGTTTTTTGAGTTTTGTTTGCGTTTATTTTTGGCAGTTACAAGGAATATACCCAGTGATTATATTGTTTGTTCCCAGTTCTGGTGCTGTAGGAATCAGATGCTCACTGGGCTTATAAAATTGGTGACTTATCTGCTTGACAAACCATATCATGAAGATGTACACAGGTGCAAAGCGACCTCTTCTGCACGTGGATAGTCACGTATCTGATTAGTCGCGGGATCGGTGAATTAGTTAAAGCAACATGCCTATCAGCAGGGTCCCGGCCAAATGACTGACTGGCATGGAGCCACTTCCCATAATGGCAAAGTGGATGGCAGGAACAGAGCCTCGTGGTGATGTTTATAACAACACAGAGCTCTCTATACTGCGACTGCACAGGGATGCTGCCGGTTATTTTATTTCCTCCTTGCAAAGCAAGAGCAGTAAAAACATTGGCTAACATTATCACACAATGTTTGACCATCCCAAAAGCACGATATGTGCGGTCAGGGCCAATGATGTCGGATCATGAGTAGGCCTGGCTCACAGTCTCCTGCTCTAATTCATCCCAAAAGGTGTTCTAATCAGGTACTGAGGGTTCAGGACTCTGTGCAGGCCAGGTCAGGTTTTCCTACATCACACAAAGTGCTCACATCATCCATGTATTTTATTGGACCTTCGATTTTGTATACATAATCACCACAGTAACACAACACTAAACATTGATTTTGCTAGAGAGCACGCCATCTTAACCCCTTGTTCACCCTATGATGGTAAAATCCCATATCCAGCCGGGCTATCTTTAGTTACAAGTGTCTGGTGGTATATTTGCACTTCATCACTTGTATTAAGTTGTCACTGGAGGGGAATTGTCAATGGCAGTTAGTTCCCAACTCAAGGGTCAGTTTTAGCATCAGTTTGCTCCTTCTATATCTATCACTGTCCAGCTATAGCGTGTATGCTTATATTGCTGCCATTTACAGTAGATAAATAATACATTTGCAAATTCCAGTTTATGTATACCATAGTTTTTGCTAGACACAAAAACATTTCACGGCAAACCAATTAATATAACACTCTATTGGTGAGTTTTTTGTAACCAAAAATATATGTAGTCTCAGATTACATTTTTTGAAGATATGTATCTTATGATGGAATAAAATAATAAAAAATTTAAAAAACTTGTTGATTTCATACATGATTTTATTGGGATTTGTTACATCGCAGCAGAAAGTCAATACATATTTAGGGTTCTTTTTATTCAATACATTTCCTGTCTTTTTTTCAATTTATATTAAGTAAAAAAGGATAAGGACAGGTGATTTGATCAAATACCAACCAGAGGAAAGTCTCTATTTGTCGGTTAAAAAAATTGATATCCTTATTTGGTATTGCACACCAGTAATTGCAGTAGTTCAACCAAGCGCATATTGTCAGCTAAAGTAGTCGCAGGTAAGGAGGGGGGGGGGGTAAAATCTGCTGGATGGTAAGTGCATTTATATAGGACATTCAGTGTCTATTTGCTGTTTTGCTTTTTTTTTGCCACCCTTGTGTTTAGGCTATGTGGGCCATTTGCACACATAAGCCATTTACAGCGCCTTATTTGAAGAGCACAAGCGTTTACAGGCAGAAAAAATGCACCAATATGTATATTCTGAGATGAGTTTATGGAATAATTTCACTCACATGTTGTGTAATTGTGATTTTCCTACGTGCGGGATGGTGTGTATTGTCATAGATTAATTATATGTCTGCCAGTTAGATTGTATTTATGTTCAAAGACGTCTTGTACGTGTTTATGTGAAACGCCTCAAACTTCTCTTGGCAAAAATAAATCCAGCATAACTTTGAAGAGAGATAAAGCTATGTTAGTGATAATAAAAAATTCGTGAATAGACTTGGCAAGTGCTATTACTGTTTATGTGAATTTAAGTACCAATAATTTATGTGTTCACCTGTAATCCGCCTCCTTGAGATATATGAACTCGCCACCGTGTTGCAATCTGTCACGCAGAATTCCTGGTCAAAAGCTTCCTTCCAACATATAATCTCGCTTTAACCTCCTGCTGTGTGGACCCTCACACACTTATACGTATGTTTTGGTGTTTCTAACTGAACATTTGGGTCCCAAATGGTACACTGGATCTCTGAAGATGATGAAATTGTCTGAATAATCAGTCACTCTGAATAAGATGACTTTTCCTCCAGATAACCGCTCTCAGGAGCTCAGGCCGTTTGTTCCTCATAAACTAAAGCGCTGTGCTAAAAATAGTGCATTGAATCCTTTTTAATACTTTCACTGCACATTGAAACAATAAGGGTTATTAGATAGCACTCCACATTCCGGAGGGTCACATATCTTTGCTCCATGTAATGGTGGAACATCCAGTAACTGTACTAATTGGGCGTCACAAGATGGCAGTATCATCCCCAGCAGCATAGAACCAGTCCAGGCTCCAAACCATGGTCACTAATACAAAGTAGTACTGGAAGGCAATGCAGGGGCCCTGATACAAACACGTATAACTGCCAACTCTAGCCTACTGAAATATGACAAATCCTGGAGACAAGATTACTGCCTGCGATAGCGGTAGTAGTAATCCACACATCGCTCCATGATTGTGTGAGGTGAGCAGATTTATGGTGGAGGATGGTTTGCACTGGAATTATCTGTGACAGATGCACACGTGGTTGTCGGTTATCTCAAGGAGGGGTCACAGGAGAACACATAAATAATTGGACTTTAATTAACTATTTTTTTTGGGAATATTAATTTTCATAAATTTATTTGAGTCACATCATTTCTGTTTGATATCACTGTTCTACTATATATATTTTATAGGTGATTTGTGCATTTTTGTGTATACAGTAGTGCAGCATATTTTTCATTTGGATTATTCATAAACCATAATAAGCCCATTTTTTGTGAGGTCTTATTAATTACTTGTAAATATTGCTTATGTTAAAATGCAAACCAGTGGCAGATGATTTGTCCTGGCGCTCCAGAAATGAAGGGAAATTTGAAAAGCAGAAAGTAAATGCTTCTATCACCACAAACGCTCCTTGGGGGATCATAACCGCTTTTATTGAATGAAGCTTCATGACAGTATCACAGATTTTAGGAACAGGGGATGGAGAGAAAATAGTTCAGAACAACAGATGTTCAGTCTTATGGCCTCTTTCAAATGGGTGACCAAAGAACATTAAAAACAGGTGGTTGAACTATGGTTATACCACCCCCAATTGCCCACATAACGTCTATCATTACAGCCAGCTG